GCTAGGTAACTGGAGACATCCGTACTAAGCTCCAGGGCCTCAGAAGGACTGAAGAACACTGGAGAGCAATACTTAAGAGCATACAGGAGCAATGGTCCCAGCTCCTGGGTCCAGAGGGCTGGGACCCGATGGGAACCTGGTATCATCCAGAACTAGCATTGGAGTGAAGAGGTGGTCTGGAGACTGCAGGGGCTGATGCAGAGTGGGTTTAGAGCGGTTCAGAAGTGGAAGGTGGACAGGTGGACTGGGGACCTGCAGCGAATAGGAGAAGACGTGATCAGACAACGGGAGAACCCCCAACAGATCAGGGTAAGAGAAAAGCCAATAGAGAAAGGAGAGATTGAGTCTGCGACCTGGATTGGACAAACTCCGTTGAAACTGCTTCGTATTGACCCTTGTGCATGGAGGTGGGCTGGGAACAAACGGGATCTGTTGAACATGACGGTAGGAGAGTCCTATAGGCTGGCGGACGGCAAGTCGAGGTCCCCGGTAGAGGTAGCCATTAACAGATGGGGGGTAATGTTGTCAGAAGGTCTGAGTTCTAAAGCTGAGGACTTTAAGAAGTTGTGGAGTGTCCTTTTGGAACTACCAGATAGGAAGAAGGCTAGCATCTTGCGGATGTTGTCGTTATTAGTTACCCCGCCGGCAGTATGGTTGAATGGACGGGGAACAGTGGTAGCCTTGGGATGTACCCGGTGTACTTGGCCTTTCGAGGCCACCATGCATCTCTGGAGGGACTGCCCGGCCTCTAAGAGGGTATGGAGATGGTGGGCCAATCACTGGACACAGATGGGTGGTCAGGAGATGGAGTGGGATGAGAGATGGGTACTTCTGGAGTTTGTCAAGGAGGAAGAGACAGGGAAGAGAGGATGGGCATATGTGGCCCAAGTGGTGAGAGCTGCTATCTGCTCCGTCATCTGGGCCGACAGAGGGCAAAACCTTCTCTGACGTGGAAATAAAGAGATCAATCAAAAGGCTTATGAGACATATGATCTGGGCAGATTGGCGGAGGAAGGCAAAGTGCGGTAAGGCACCAAGGTGAACTCTTTGGTGGTTTCTCAAAACTTGGACAATAAACAACAGTCTGGCAGGAGTTCATAGGACCAGAGGGTTGGTAATATCTTAATGGCTACAAGAGTAGGGTTACCCTCCCTGTTTGGGGGTTTGAATTCTCTTTTTTGGTTTGTTATCGTTTTTCAGGCCTGGTGCAGTGGTTTTTTGTCCATGAACCAGGGTATCTTTTTTTTTTTTTTTTTTTTTTGAATGGGAAAAAGGCTCCAATTTTTTCGGGGGGGGCAGCACGTGCTGGGAACCGGGCCCAGCGTCCCATATGGAGATTTACATCGAATTTTGAAAATTTGAGATATTGGGGCCATTACCCGGCTTAGGCTAAGAAAATTTTGAGCTACTTAGGAAATTACTACGACAAACTTCAGAATTGGATAAAATTCAGAAAACAACTCAGGAGTCCCCCATCAATCCTCTTTTACCTCACTCCGGCAAGACTTACTGCAACAGAGTCACCATCTCTGTTGCTGCTGTACCCTATTTCCATCCTACGATTCCTACCAGCTAGCCCCCATACTAGTAGGACGCTTAATATCCCACCATTTATTTCTCCCACTCACCTAAAAGACTCAAACACCCTCAATCTGTCCCCTGTACCCCACTCCGGCAAGACTTGCTGCAACCGAGCCACCATCTCCGCTGCTGCTGTACCCTATTCCCGTCCTACCAGCTAGCTCCCTTACTAGTAGGACGCGTAATATCCCACCTTCTCCTTCTCCAACTCACCTCGGTCTCTTGAGAAAACGTCTAAGCAGTACGAAAAACATGGGAATAGGCCTCATAGGTCCTACAAATGCTAAAAAACCCTTGAAATCCCTGACAAACCCTTCCAAAGCACTCCAACACTGTCCTACTCCCTGCCGAGCTCTTCCAGGTCTCACACCCCCACATCTTGCTGGGTTACAGGGCAACACAACTCACCCCAACTCTGACCAGCGTCGTCCCAGCAGCAACCCTTAGTTGTCCTGTGGGATGCCCACCCCAAAGCATCCCCAGATCTCTCTACCAGGCCTCACGCTCCTGCATCAGCATCAGAAGGTCACAGGGCAACACCCCGGCACCGGCCAGCGTCGTTCTGGCGTCGAACAGCCGCAGGTCACTTAGTATAACAGCGTCGAAGCCACCTAAGAAGAGTTGCTAGGAATCCCCAAAGTCCAAAAACATTCTTAAAACCACCAATCAGCCCCCCTTTTTTTTATGAAACCAATAAAAACAGACTTCAACTATTCGTCTTCCTTCGACGAGCCGACCTCCTCCACCACATAGTCCGAAGAAGAAAAATAGAAGTAGTCCACCAAAAAAATTTTGAGTGAATTTTACGAGTCAGCGACAATCAACGGAACCAACTTCCTTTCAACCCCCTACTCTTTTTCATCCCTCGACGAGCCGACCTCCTCCACCACATAGTTCGCGGGATGAGAACAGCATCCACAACCACACACCTTCCTCAATACATTCCTCCTCTTACGACGAGCCGACCTCCTCCACCCATAGTTCGCAAGAGGAGAAATGGTAGAAATCAGGTGAACACCCTCACCCTAGTAAGTGCAACAACACACCTCCTCGAAACACCTGGCTCATAAAACGTAGGCAAGCAACTCAGAAATCAAAAGGTTATGAAAACCAAGTAGTCATATAAGGCATATTAATCTCACAAGAGGAGAGGACGGAAGGGAAATTCTTTTCTCCCCATGGAAATTCCTGCGCCTATTCTCGTCTCCGCTGAAGGTAAAGGCTCAAAAGAAACCGAGCGGCTTACCCCCCCACACACACAAAACGACATCCTGCCCTTTCACTGCCTCCACTGGAAGGTGCCCCCTCACCTTCCAGCCCCAGTTAGAGCAGCCCCCTACATCCCTCTTGCTCCCTCAACAGCATACAATACCTCATAGAGTATGCCCCCGCAGACCCGAAGATCACCCTTCCCTCATATCCCACCCCCTCCAAGTGAAACATCTCGCAACTTCTCACCTTGTTGAAACCAGCATCAACCCTTTGTCCTCTCTCCGAACCGCCTTAGCTGATCCAACCCAAATCAGCCTGGCCCAAAAGAGAACAAACCCACAAACCACCCCTACCCTCGCAAGGATCACACCTCCCACCTTGCATAACCCTCGCAGGGTGGGGCTCAACCCTGAAGGAGCGAGTTCAATCAGCACCTATGAGCCTAAATCCTACGGTATCGCAGCCCGAGACTCAGTTATGACCTACTTTTTAAGATCCCCCAAACAGATAAACTAATATCGAATCAGATATCGAATTCAAGATATAAGAGCACATACTAATATACGGTAGAATAACACAAACCCGAGCTTACTAAAATAGGAAAACACGACAAATTAAGAATTTCACTCTCAGGCGAGTCGAAACATCAAGAAAAAAACAGCAAATTCACGAGACCATTGGAAATTTAAAAGGTTAGAAATCATTATTCGAGATCAGAGACGAAGCTCTGATTTACGATGGTCAATATGAAAAGAACAAATCGAGAATTATTCAGAAAATTTTGAGATCATTCATGAGCCCACTGTCTTGAATCAGGTACGTGGATTATTCTTCATGAGTTCATTGAGAATCTAAAAAGTTAGAAAACATTATTCGAGATCAAAGACGAAACTCCGATTTACGATCATCAACATGAAAAGATCGAATCGAGAATTGTTCGAAAAATTTTGAAATCATTCATGAGCCCGCTGTCTTGAATCAAATTCGAATTAAAAGCCTAAAGCTAAATCCAAAATAGAGAAATCCAAAAGATTCAAAAATTAGATTCGAAACCCAAAGATTAGAATCAAAACTCGAATTTACAATCATCTGAAAATCGAAATCGAGTTACTATCTTGAAGCTACCTCCTTAAAAACGAGATCAAAGTGAAAAGACGGAGGTCATTCAAGCCACGACGAGCAACAAGCATCCCACAAAACTATGGATCGAAGCATATAAACCAACCTCTCATCATGATGTGTCTGTCTCCCCCAAACCTTCACCCCTCCCTTATCGGCCAGAAGGCAACTCAACCATCACATGGCCACTCTCTCGGCCATCAAAAAAAGACTGAACAATAAGGACTAACGGACCGTGGCTTCACTTTACCCTGCACGTTGTAATTAGTTTACTGATGACGGATATATCGATTCCCTACATACCCACTGGGACTGTGGGACATCGAGTACTTTCGCTTCCAGGTGTATTTTTCGGATTGGGTCAACCGACGGACATAGTAGGACCAGACTTTGTTCCAAGTTTACCTGGGCATAGGTCTGAACCGATGTAGGACCCCCGATATCTGACACTACTGATAGTCAGGGAAGGAACGTTGTAATTGTTCCGATTTGTTTTGTTTTTGTTTTGGTTTTGACTTTTTTTGCCTTTTGGTTTCTGTTTCTTTTTTCGGAGTTAGCAAGGATTGGAACCGGGACTGGAATAGACTGCCGGTTACGGGCACGAGACGTGGAAAGTGACGAAAACCCGTTGGCATATTAACCTGGCAAACGCCGAGTTTCACCCTCCTCGTTTTCCCGCTATCATAGAGGAAGCGCGATATGAGAGTCGGCGTGAATGGTGGTTCCTGGGTGTTGCGGAACGATATGGTGGATCGTGTTGTACTTCGAGTGTGAATACGGTCTTGACAGTTTTCTACCAAGTGTGCTTTTGCGTACATGTGTGATGTTGTTCTATTTGCTTATCAGCAACAAAAATCCATAACCTGCGGGGAAGTCGTACCTAGAGAGGGTGGCGGAGCTCTAAGGAAGGAAGGAAGGAAGAAGGACAGATTGAGGAAGGAAGAAGAAAGAGGTTTTTGACAGAAAGGTATCGATACGAGAAGATGGCGAGCAAAGGTGCGGCAGGAGGGACTGGAGGAAGCAGCGGGTCAAGTGGAAGACCGCAGCGCGGCACGAACCCACTAACAGGAAAATCCTGTTATAAGTGTGGGGAACCCGACCACTTTGCAAGCATGTGTGCGGAGTATTGGCAGGCCAAGGCGCGAGGTGTTCCCTTTGTCCCGCCCCCACCCCCGGGCCAATCGAGAAATGGGAGAACCATGGCGATAGGCACAGAAAGGCGGAGTCACTCCGCAGACAGCGGAATTACTAGAACGCAGAGCAAGGAGACCGACGCAATGATGCGCGAATATTTCGTGGAAATGACTCGCGAACGAAGGGAGAGGCTAGAGAGGGAGGCAAGGGAAGCAGAGCTGAGGAGGGAGAAGGAAGCGAGAACCGAACGAGAACGACGGCGACAACAGAGGATACTCGAAAGGAGGCAATACGAAGAGGATCGTGATGAGCGATTGCTAAGGAGGATCCGCGGCGAATTCCGAGATAGTCAAGACGATGAGGGAGAACGGAAGAATATTAGAGCGGGAAAAAGCACGATTAGGCGTAATGAGTACGGAGAGACAAAAGAAGAGGAGAAAGAACGGTTGTTACGAACGATTGCTAGCCTGGAGCCAACAGGAGAAGAAGAAGAAGATGACGCGGAGTTAGTAGAGTTAAGAAGAAGGGCGGCAGCCTTGAAGCTCGGCTTGGAGAAAAGGAAACGCCCGGTAGTTGAATCACCCGTGGGAAACAGCCCCCCAATGGTGACTCCAACTAAAGGGCAGCGGACTAGCCTGTCGAAGGAAGCTAAAACGAGGATCGAGGAGATTCAAGGAGCCGATCCAGGAAAAGGGGCTGGCCCATCGTCAGTGAAGAAGAATATCCTCGCCTCTCTGGAACCAACGGGTAAGCTTGGGATTTCCCTCAAGCATATCACAGCAGGGGTGGGACCGGGTGCAAGAGAGAAGTACGAGACTGAGGTTAGGGACCTTTTTGAGGTACTCACGATAGATGAATTGAAGGAGCAATGCAAGCTGGAGAAGATTGGCTACGGGAACCGTGAACTAGCGATTAAACGTTTAGTAGGGAGAAGAGTCATCAAAGTTTATGATCCGGTGAACGTTCCTTTGCCGGTGAACCCGAGGGCATCAGAGCGACTGGGCAAGAGGAATTCGACGCTGAAGATACAGGAAGATGTCGCGACGGACGACTCATTGGCAGATGAGTCAGACGAAGAGGATGTGTGAAGGGGAGACATTGGCGAACTGTGGCGAGAGGCCGCAGAGGTAGCGAAGGGTAGGAGAGCACGTGGGAGTCGTAACAAGCATCTGGATTATCGCCTACGGATTTTAACGATTGCCTTAACGCTACGGGGAGAGTTAGACTGGTTAAAGAAATTTGTTCCGTATTGGGCTGACGGGAATGAAGAAGGAAATTTGGAATTGCGGACACCGAGTAGATGTGTATACGCGCTAGTATCCCCCTGGTGTAGGCAAGTGTATATAGGGATCACGGAGAGGGAGTTGTGGGCTCGATGGAGGGAACATGTGGGGTGCTGCTTAGCCGGCGGATAAAAGCGAAGACGAAACCTATATAACTGGCTGGGAAAGATTGGATGGCAGAAGTACGTGGCGATACCAATCTATTTCAGCCAGACACGGGAGGAGCTTGAAGCAGCTGAGTCCTCACTGATTCGAACTTGGTCGCCAACGCTGAACACGAAAGGGAAGAAGAAGAATACGCGAAGAAGAAAACGACGAGGAAAGAAGGAGAGGAACACACGAAAGAAGGGAGAGATAACGAAGGGTGCCGACGTGGAATTTACTGGAAGATTTCTGAAGATTGGACGAGATGATGACAGCGAAGGAACCATTAGAGTCGTCTCTTTCTTTAGAGATTTGGCTAAGGATGGAAAGAAGGCGATCGCGATAAGAACAGAAGGCGGGAAAGTCTGGGCCGATGGATGGAAGTTAGTCAAGCGGCTCTTTGGGGAAACGAGGGTTGAAGTAGGACGCAGAACTCGGCGGCTAAGTAAATGTAAGAAACTGTTTGAGCAAAGAGGGAAGATCGTGCTTTGAGGTATCATGGAAGCAACCCCGGCAAGTCTGAGGCTGAAGGAGGAGATCATTGGAATGCTCAAAACAAACGTAAAAAATTCGGATTGACCAGGAAGCGGCTGGGGGAGCTGGTACGATACTACGGCGCAGCAAAATTGTTTTCAACTAAGAAGGATAGAACGAGGGCGCATGATTTCGGATGCAATTAAGAAGAAGTTCGGATTGAACGTAAGAAGAAGGCTGATTGTGAAGATCGAGTTCGACGAAAGAATCAAGAAAGGGGAAGTAATGAGATTAGTGAGAAGGAAAGTGGGGGACCTCCAGCTCGATGGATCTATGAAGGAGATGGTACGTAGACGCAGCCGAGTTGTTTGGACCAGGTGTCCAAACGTCGGCGAGATGATTCATAATCATCGCCGCTATGCGGCAGATGGCGTCACCAGGTGCACTTGCGCCGGTAAACCCTTCCCGAAGGTGGAAGGGCACGTACATTTTCGGCTTAGTCAGTGGAGTCGGTGCCCCGCACTGGCCAAGAACGCGAAGAACGTACCTGGGGAAGACAAACGGAACGTCAGCGAGAGACTGAAGAATGAAATAGCGACAGCTTTGAACGGAGTGGATTGGCTTGGCGAACAGCTTGGAGCGGTGGGGGTGCGTGAGGAGGAGGTGGCTGCCTGTATCGAGGGATCGAGATCAGTGGATGACACTGGGAGGAAGCAGATCTTGAGACTAAAACAGGAGCTGACCGGTCTTGTCCTATGCCCTTTAGATCGCAACCCTGGGGAGACGCTGGTGCTGTGCCCAAGCCTGTACGCTAAGGGGATGCGGACCGCGTTTATCAGTAATGAAGGGTACGAGGGATGCGAAAAATCGGAGGTGGAGGTGTTGGAGGAATCGAAAGATGCGTATGTGTCGGCAGGTTTCCAGAAGTTGGGCAAATGGAAGAAGGATGGGAGACTGGGTCGAGCTTATGCACTTCCGAAGCACAAGGATACGGAGAAGTTCAGACCCATCTGCCCAACCTTCTGTGAACCAAGCACAAACGCATGCAAGATGATGGCTAGGTGCTTGAACGCGATGCTGTTCGGGCTGCCTGGAAACGAACACTTGAACTTGAAGGCGGTGTCGGATATGAAAGGAAGACTGATGAAGATCAATAAAAAGATGGAGAACGTGTGCCAGAGCACGCAGGTCATGGTTGCCTCGTACGATATTAAGGACATGTTTAGCAAGCTTCCGCATGCTACTATCGTACGGGCAGTCGATTGGTGTATCTGGTGGTACAAGGAGAGAGGCTTGACGGGTGTGCATGTCAAAGTGAGGGGAAAGGGAGCTAGGATGAGTAAGAGTGATGTTGTGGACAGGCATCGGTTTGTAGATTTCAATTGTCTTATGAGGTATGTTCAGTTCGATCTGGAGAACTGCTATACAGTAGCGAGTGCAGTGGTGCTCAGGCAGATCGTTGGAATCCCGATGGGTAAGCCTTCGAGCCCTCCACTCGCCTGTCTGATGTGTGCCAAGAGTGAGTGGGACTTCCTTTCTTCACTGGGAAGTCAGAGGAGATACGTGGCCGGTCTCCGTTTTGTCGATGACGTATCATGTTTTGTAGCCTTCAGCACCAAGAGACAGAAGAGCAGAGAACAGGCCGAGCAAATCCTGAAGCGATTTGAGAGGAGCTACGATCCCGCGCTGACCCTGAAGCGCACAGAGATTGAGGATGGGAAGTGAGAATTCCTGGGATGTAGTATGACTGTCTCGGAGTCATACCCTTTCCTGGGCTGCTGCCAGAATGTCAAGAATGAAGGTGAACTGAGAAGGAAAGAGGCATTAGTGTTCAGTTCCTTCCAGGACTTCGAATCCTGGACATGCAAGAAAGCAAAAATGGCAGTGATTGTTAGCGCACTACATAGAATATATGTGAACTCTGTTCGTGGCATGCAGGTTATTGACGCAGTTGTTCTCGTCAAGATGGAGTTGCGGAGGCGCAACTACCCTGACCACTATTTCAGGGGAGGAATCAGGAATTTTGCAAGGGATAAGGGGAATGCATGGAAATGGATCGCGGAACTCGTGACAATGGATTGAAAGGGACAAGGAAGGAAGTGGGAACAAAGGGAGTGAGAGAGAGAGGGAGAGAGAGAGAGAGAGAGAGAGAGAGAGAGAGAGAGAGAGAGAGAGAGAGAGAGAGAGAGAGAGAGAGAGAGAGAG